TTAAGTTACAACGGCACCGAAAACAGTGACATATAACCATTTTTCACACTTATGACCGTTGTAGCATCCCCATGGTCACGTGATTTACATTCAGATGCTTGACAACTGACTCAGATTTATGACATTGCGGTGTTGCGTGATCCCCTTTTGTGATCTTCTGACAGGCAAAGTCCATGGGGAAACCAGATTCACCTAAGAACCACGTTACTAATTTAACAGCTGCATTGATTCACTTAGCAAATGTGGCAAGAAAAGTCGTAAAATGAGGCAAAACTCACTTAACAAATTTCTCACTTAACAACATAAAATTTTGGCTCAACTGAGATTGTAAATTGAGGACTACCTCTAACTGAGGACTGGAAAAGAGCTGATGTGGCTCCCAGGGAACTCATCAGATTTGCAGACAACACTAAGCTGGCAAGAATAGCCAACACCCCAGAAGACAAGCTCAGGATCCAAAAAGACTTGACAGCCTTGAACAGTGGGTCCTATCTAATAAAATGATATTTAACAAAAATAAAATAAAGGTTTACACTTGGACAAGAAAAATCAAATGTAGGTGAAACCTGACTTAATGCCAGTAACTGCGAGAGGGATCTTGGAGTCCTAGTGGACAATCACTTAAAATATGAGTCAACAGTGAGTTGCAGCAGCCAGAAAAAACAATACAATCCTAGGCTGCATTAATAGAGGGCTAATCAAGTTACAAAGCCTTAGTACAATGTTTCCCAACCTTTTCTATACCCCGCGCCCCTACAACACTTCAGATATATTCTCACGCCCCTTACAAAAGTTTGAAATAACAGCAACAAATTATGTGTCAACGCTGCTAACATCGGAAGTTCTTGCTTTGACAACAGATGGAAATGCAGCCATTTTACTCTTTTGCTTTTAGAGTTAGTTGATGCTGGGAGGGGGAATGTGGATGAGAGTCCAGTAAGTCATAATAATAATAACTCAGCCGTGGGAATCCAAGGTAATTGCGCCCAGAGTTGATAAAGATTTGGCGGGCTGGGGAGAAAGCCCACACTTCAAGCTAATTGGGGAATGTGATTTATGACTGTTAATTGGAGGGGATTATGCTTTGTTACTTTGTGCTCAGGGGAGGGGAATTCAGTTTTTGGCTTTAACTATGTAGTGCCGATACTTTGTTTCTCAAATAAAAGATTCTTTAAGGTAAACAATGCCTCAAAGTTCTTTTGAAGAGTTTCATCTGTCAGAACCATGACATTATGCATATACACTATAATTTTGAAAACCCAAGTTTTCGCACCTCCAGGAATATCGTCTCGCACCCCAGGGGATGCGAGCACCCCTGGTTGGGAACCCCTGCCTTAGTAAGACCACACTTGGAATACTGCATCCAAATCTAGTCACCACAATATAAAAAGATGTTGAGTGCAGAGAAGAGCAACAAGAATGATTAGTGGGCTGGGGCTAAAACATACAAAGAACGGTTACAGGAATTTGATATGTCTAGTTTAATAAAAAGGAAGAGGGGAAACATAATAGCAGTGTTCCAATATTTGAGCGGCTGCCATAAAGGAGGCAGGGGTCAACTTATTTTCCAAAGCACCAGAGGGCAAGACAAAAAACAATGGATGGAAACTAATCAGGGAGAGAAGCAACCTGGAATCAAGAAATTTCCTAACAGTGACAACAATTAAGCAGTGGAACAGCTTGCTTTCAGAAGTTGTGGGTGCTTCATCACTGGAGGTTTTTAAGAAGAGACTGGAAAGTCACTTGTCTGAAATGGCATAGTGTTTCCTGCTTGAGCAGATTATTGGAACAGAAGACCTTCAAGGTCCTTTCCAGCTCTATTCTGATTGATTCATTAATTAATCTTGAAAGCTGCAGCTTTGAATTTGCTGCTCGAGCAGCAGAAATAGGTCAATGGCTATATTTTGCAGGGAGGAAGAAGATCCAGTTTGGTGTAGTGGTGAAGGCACCAGGTTAGAGATTGGGAAATGTTCAGTCCTAGTCTCACCTTAATTGCAAAGTCATCTTGCAATTTTGGCGTCCTATCAGGCCTAAGAAGCAGAGAAGGGGGAAACCTCTTGACTTGACTGACTTGAAGGCACCAAAAACAAACATGCAGAGTAAGGCTTAAGGATGGAAAGTCACACGTTCTAATTCAGTGTTAGTTTAGACATGAAGGAGTTCTGGAATATTGAGAGCCAAAAAGTATGTTTTGGGAGGTAGGGAAGCTGTCTGGGGGGCATTTACCCTGAAAATTTACAGCATGCCACACATTAAGTGCTTTGTATGCCATCATAAGTTCCTAAATGAAATCAATAAAATTTTGGGGTTATATTATTCCAGATTCCTCCACATAACAGAGCTTACAGCCAATAACTGAAATGGCCACTATCACCACCCAATCTGCCTCTCTTTGTTAGACCCCTTGTTCTAGGCCTTGCTCCACATTTTTCTCTCTCTGTGACCTAATTGAGACTTCTATGCAGGGAAATTTACAGAAGCACATGGCATTTAGCATATGTAAAATTTCCTCCTTCAGGAATGAAGCTGGCATGCTGGGTACTCTTGGATGCAGCCTTGGCCAGCAAGAGTGAAGTTGGCTCCTCTGGTGCATCTCACCTGATGGTGCTGCCATGTCCTAAATCTTTGAGAGCCACAGGAAATCAGTCCTAAAGTTTTGGGATGTAGAGAAGTTTGATCTCCATTGAGAGTCACCCCTAAGAAAATTGATTATGTAATTCTGTAAAACCTTCATGAACTTTTAGGGCTCTGCACATAGATACCCTCCAGAAGCTAAGTAGCATCACATTTCATTATTTCACTTGGCTCAGTTGCAAAGGTCGGTTGCTAGTAGTCAAAAACAAAGTTGATAGCATTTAATCAGTGAAAATATCTTGCAAACGCCTTAGGGAGAGACGAGACAAGCATGTTTTCCCACCACCTATCTGGACATGGCGGTCAAATAGGCAAACTTTCTAGCGGACAATACAGCGTCTGTGTTTGAGCTTAAAGGTGTTAAAATCATCGAGTACTGCATTGCTAGAAAGTAGGAGAGGAAAGAAGACGCGCAGAGGAACTTCCTATTCCGGATCAGTCATGGACGGAAAGTAGCGAGTAGAGGGATTTTTGTGCTCTTCCCAGATTGAAGCAGCAGCTGGAAGGTGAGTGGAGGGCAGGTCGGAGAAGAAGCCGGGAACAAGCGGGGCTGTTTGGTTTCCTCCACGGCGTCTAAGCAGAGAAGCAACTCGTTTGAAGCATCTCAGCTGCTGCTGCTGCCAATCCCTTCCCTCCCCAACTTTTCAGTCCACTGGTGCTGCAGGCTGTTAAACTGGGGGCTGCGATTTTCTGCTGGTGGGAAGATTTCAAAAGTCTCCTTCAAGTGAAGGTTGATTCTTTGGGAATGGCTTCCCTCCAGAGGTTGTGGGTGCTGCGTCACTGGAGGTTTTTAAGAGGAGACCGGACAGCCATTTGTCAGGAATAATAATAGGGTCTCCTGCCTGAGCAGTGGGTTGGACTAAAAGACCTCCAAGGTCCCTTCCAACTCTGTTATTCTTTTTCACAATTATTTAAAACTAATTCTCTATTATTACATTTGATTAGTGCTTAATAACCATCGTGTCGTCTGGTCCTATTTAATTGCTTAATAATACAACTTACATTATTAGTGTCTACCCTTTTTTTCCAACCATTGATTAAATAAATTCCATGTTTGAAAATATTCTGTATAAGTCTGTCCATTTCAGCACAGTCCAAGATCTTCTTGATTATCTCTTTGTCTAGTGTTTCTTCATTCTTCCAGTGCTGAGCAAATACAATCCCTGCTGCTATTAATATATGCAATGTTAAATATATACTTTCCTTATTAAATTTTTCTGATATTATACCTAATAAAAAGAGTTTAGGTTTAAAATCTACATGTTTTCCTAACATGTTTTCTAACCCAATGTGTCTTTTGGCCCAATTTTTTTTTCTTTTAACACAAGGCCACCACACATGGTAATAGTAATAGTAATAGTAGTAAAGTTGGAAGGTACCTTGGAGGTCATCTAGTCCAACCCCCTGCTCGGGCAGGAAACCCTAAACCATTTCGGACAAATGGCTGTCCAGTCTCTTCTTAAAAACTTCCAGTGTTGGAGCATTTACTGCTTCTGGAGGCAAGCTGTTCCACTGATTAATTGTTCTCACTGTCAGGAAGTTTCTCCTTAGTTCTAGGTTGCTTCTCTCCTTGATTAGTTTCCACCGTTGCAAGCCACGTGTTTGATTACATTTCCAATATTTACTGGACATATTTTTAAACATTTTTGCTAATCTAGCAGGTGGTAAATGCCATCTATAGAATATTTTATATCAGTTTTCTTTATAAGAGGTTGTTATGGTCAATTTATAATTTCTTTGCCAAAAATTTTGCTATTTCTCTAATTCTATATTATATCCAAAGTTTTCTGCTCACTGCATCATTGTTTCTTTCACTTGTTCATCCTCCATTTTTGAATTTAATAGAAAGTTATATAGCTTCTTACACAGTTTTTTATCAGAGGTCAACAGCATCTGATCAAACATTGTTTTTTATAAAAACCATATGTTTTCGCATCTTTATTATACTCGGTTGCTTTTGCAACGGAGGCCACCATGATAATTCAGTACCCTGATGTACAGGCTTTGGTTTAGATTTTAATTTCCCTTCGGTATCCAAAATATTTTTATATATCCATTTTTTTTCATATTTTACTTGATTTGGGTGAACAAACGCTTCCATCATTGAAAACAATCTTGGGATTCTTAAGTAGATTTTAACTTTTATCTTTTTGCACACAAGAAGTAGTTTATTTCTTATATAATGATTTTGAAACTATCTATGAATCTTATTCTCATACCATAGAAATGCATGCCATCCACGTTGCAGATTATGTTCTTGGATTCTTGTAGCATTTTCAGTTTAATTCTGGCTTTCCTTTCTCGCCAAATAAATTTAAAAATCAAAATATTTAAATCATCAAAAAATTTCTTCTCTATTTTTATAGGTGCTATTTGGAACAAGAAGAGCAGTTTTGGTAAACTCTTCATTCTCGAAGTAGCTATTCTTCCTAACACTGATAGTTGTAAGTTTTTCCATTTCTCTAGATCTAATTTTATTTGATTAAGCAATGTTATAATAATAATAATAATAGTAGTAGTAGTAGTAGTAGTAGTAGTAGTAGTAAAGTTGGAAGGGACCTTGGAGGTCATCTAGTCCAACCCCCTGCTCAGGCAAGAAACCCTACACCATTTCGGACAAATGGCTGTCCAGTCTCTTCTTAAAAACTTCCAGTGTTGGAGCATTTACTGCTTCTGGAGGCAGGCTGTTCCACTGATTAATTGTTCTCACTGTCAGGAAGTTTCTCCTTAGTTCTAGGTTGCTTCTCTCCTTGATTAGTTTCCACCCGTTGCTTCTTGTCCTGCCTTCAGGTGCTTTGGAAAATAGCTTAATTCCCTCTTCTTAATGGCAGCCCCTGAGATATTGGAATACTGCTATCATGTCCCCCCTTGTCCTTCTCTTCGTTAAACTAGACATACCCAATTCTCGCAACCGTTCCTTATATGTTTTAGCCTCCAGTCCCCTAATCATCTTTGTTGCTCTTCTCTGTACTCTTTCTAGAGTCTCAACATTTTTTTTACATCGTGGTGACCAAAACTGGATGTAGTATTCCAAGTGTGGCCTTACCAAGGCATTGAAGAGTGGTATTAATACTTCACGTGATCTTGATTCTATCCCTCTGTTAATGCAGCCTAGCACTGTGTTGGCCTTTTTGGTAGCTGCAGCACACTGCTGGCTCATATTTAGGTGATTGTCTACTAGGACTCCAAGGTCCCTCTCACAGTTACTACTATTGAGCATGGTGCCACCTATGCTGTACTTGTGCATTTGGTTTTTCTTGCCTAAATGTAGAACCTTGCTTTTTTCACCATTGAATTTCATTTTGTTAGTTAGTGCCCAGTGTTCAAGTCTGTCCAGATCCTTTTGTATCTTAAGCCTGTCTTCTGGAGTGTTGGCTATTCCTGCCAGCTTGGTGTCATCTGAAAATTTGATGAGTTCCCCATCTATCCCTTCGTCCAAATCATTGATGAAGATGTTGAAGAGCACTGGGCCCAGAACAGAGTCCTGGGGCACCCCACTACACACTTCCCTCCATATAGATGCAGTTCCATTGAGGACCACTCGCTGAGTACGGCCGGTCAGCCAGCTACGGATCCATCTGGTGGTGATTCTGTCTACCCCACATTTTTCTATCTTATCAAGTAATAGGTTGTGATCTACTTTATCAAATGTCTTACTGAAGTCCAAGTAAATTATGTCTACAGCGTTCCTCTGATCCACTAATTTTGTCACTTGGTCAAGAATGCAATAAGATTTGTCTGGCATGATCTATTTTTGACAAACCCATGTTGGCTTTAGTAATGACTTTGTTTGCCTCTAGGTGTTCGTTGATTCGTTGTTTGATTATCTTTTCCAGGATCTTCCCAGGTATTGAGGTCAGGCTGATAGGTCTGTAATTTCCTGGATCCATTTTTTTTTACTTTTTTGAGGATGGGAACTACATCAGCTCTTTTCCAGTCCTCTGGTAGTTCCCCTGTGTTCCAGGATCTTTGAATAATATAGTTCAGTGGTTCCGATATCACATCTGCCAGTTCCTTGAGAACCTTGGGGTGTAATCCATCTGGTCCTGGCGATTTGAACTCATCTAGGCTGGACAGGTGCTCACTTACCATTTTCTTACCTATCTTAACTTGTGTTTCTATTTTGTTTTTTATGGCACTATTTTTGATAGGTTGGTCTGTTTTTTCCCTTTGTGTAAAGACAGATGCAAAAAACGAATTAAGTAGTTCTGCTTTCTCCCTGTTGCTTGTCACCTTCTTACTACTTTCGCCCACTAATGGACCAATCATTTCCTTCACTTTTTTCTTGTTTTTTACATGTTGAAAGAAGCTTTTTTTGTTATTTTTGACTTTGGTCGCAAGCCTTAGTTCATTTTGAGCCTTGGCTTTCTTCACTTCATCTTTGCAGGCTCGGGCTATTTGCTGATATTCTGACTTAGTTATGTTCCCCTCTTTCCACTTTCTATACTTGTCCTTTTTATCTTTCAATTTGTCAGAGAGTTCTTTATGCAGCCATGCTGGTTTCTTTTGAGAGCTGTTGTTTTTCCTCTTTGTTGGTATTGTGCTAGACTGTGCTTTCATTATCTCATTTTTCAAAATTTCCCAAGCTTCTTGAGTTGTTTTCCCCTTGAGTATTCTCATCCATGGAATCCTTCCCAAGCCCTCTCTAAGTTGATTGAAATTAGCTCTCTTGAAGTCCAAGACTCTAGTTTGACTGTGTTCTATTACTTGTGCTTCTATAATGTTGAATTCTAATATTGCATGATCACTTCCTCCCAGGGTTCCTATGGCTTCAACACCTTCTATCATTTCATCTCTGTTAGTGAGAATTAGATCCAAAATGGCTAACCCCCTAGTTCCCTTCTCTACTTTTTGGGAGACAAAGTTGTCTGCTAGGTTTGCCAGGAACCTGTTTGATCTTCTACTTGGTGCGGAGTTTGTCTCCCAGTTGATGTCAGGGTAGTTAAAGTCCCCCATTACTATTGTGATGTGCTTCCTACATACCTTAGTTAGCTGACTAGCAAAAAGTTCATCTATTTCCTCTGTTTGGTTGGGTGGTCTGTAGTATACACCTATGGCAATGTCATTTCCCCCCCCCTTTTATATTTATGTAGTTATCTTTTATCATTGCACATCTTGCTGTTAAGTATATTCCCAAATATATAATTTTCCTAATTTTTTGAAAATCCATTTTTTTGACAATTGTTCTTTTTGCTTAGATGTAAGGTTTTTAACTATAACTTTTGTTTTTTCTCTATTTATCTTCAATCCTGCTACTTCTCCAAATAACTAAATCCTTTTCAATAGTTTAGGGCAGACATGTCAAACTCACGATGTCACGTTACGTTGCGCGACGTATCGGGATTGTTTTGCTATTGCCGGCAATGGGGCGGGCACAGCTTTTGGGTGATGCGTCTGGCCTGCAGGCTGGCAGTTTGACACCCCTGGTTTAGGGGTTGTCTCCAATGTTGTTGTTTTTTTTTTTTGTCTTTTTATAGCTTCCATCAGTTCCATCATTGTTATTTTTTTGTTTAGCATGTTTTTAATGTTTTCTGGAATTTTTGGTACATTGGCTTTTTCCAATATTTTATGTTGTTTTTTCCAGAGATATTTTTTTCTATGTCATATAGTTTTTCATAATATTCTTTAACTATTTTTTTATTGCCTCATTTTGGAGTTGCACATCTCCCTTCTTATGTTGTAATTTGTTTATCAACTTTTTCTCTCTTTCTTTTTCCAATTTATAAACCAGCTATCTTCACAGTTTATTTGCATTTTCGAAAAAAAATGTTTTCCTCTTCTGATTTGTTGAGCCAACTCTTCTGACTTTTATTAGGTTTAGTTTGTGTTTAATTATCTCCATTTGTCTTTTAAGAGTTTTTTTGTGGATCTTTTTGAAGTTCAAGCTTCAATTTTTTAAACTCTTTTCTTTGCGTTGTACACTGTTGCTTTTTCTCTTTATTCTTTTCAGCTGTATAAATTATAGCTAATCCTCTGAAGTGTGCTTTGGCTGTATCCCATATGTACTGGAGTGAAGTGTCTTCTTTTTTATTTTCTTTGAAAAAGAATTCCATTTCTTTTACTGCTCTTTCTGAAATTCTTTCTCCTTTGATAAGAGTTAATTCCATGTTCACCTTGATTTCTTCTTTACTCTTGTCCAACTCAGCTTTATTGGATTATGGTCGGCCCAAATATTGGGTTCTATCTCAACCTCATGTATATTAGTTCTTAATCAAGAATCAAGATCACGTGAAGTATTAATACCACTCTTCAATGCCTTGGTAAGGCCACACTTGGAATACTGCATCCAGTTTTGGTCACCACGATGTAAAAAAGATGCTGAGACTCTAGAAAGAGTACAGAGAATAGCAACAAAGATGATTAGGGGACTGGAGGCTAAAACATATAAGGAATGGTTGCTAGAATTGGGTATGTCTAGTTTAATGAAGAGAAGGACAAGGGGGGACATGATAGCAGTATTCCAATATCTCAGGGGCTGCCATAAAGAAGAGGGAATTAAGCTATTTTCCAAAGCACCTGAAGGCAGGACAAGAAGCAACGGGTGGAAACTAATCAAGGAGAGAAGCAACCTAGAACTAAGGAGAAACTTCCTGACAGTGAGAACAATTAATCAGTGGAACAGCTTGCCTCCAGAAGCAGTAAATGCTCCAACACTGGAAGTTTTAAAGAAGAGACTGGATGGCCATTTGTTTGAAATGGTATAGGGTTTCCTGCCTGAACAGCAATTTACATTGCCCCCAACAATCTGGGTCCTCATTTTATCTACCTGGAAGGATGGAAGGCTGAGTCAACCTTGAGCCGGTGAGATTTGAACCACTGACCTGCTGAACACAGTCAGCTAAAGTGGCCTGCAGTACTGCACTCTAACTGCTGCACCACCTCGACTCCTAAGTTCAAAAGCTTTGACTGTAAACTATGTTGGCACATATTTCCAGGCTTGAAAGACATAGATTTTTTCCATATATACTTTTGTAGGAGCGTGTATCTGTATTTCTCTCTGTATGCATATATCTGGAATCATATAATCTATGCCCATCACTTCCAGATGTATTTGATGATAACCCTTTGTATTGCTAAGGATTTATGATTGATCGAAGTGAACAAGAAATTTTACCCAAATCAACAACTGAATTTGATTGAATGGATATTTGAACATGAATGTCAATAGTCTTCCATGTATCAGATGAATCATAAACAATGTAAAAGATTATTCTATCATTGTGGCATGTTTGCTTTTTCATTGTAATGCATACTTCTCTTCTTTTTTCACACCTCTCACCATTTTATAAAAATTAAAGTTACACTTTTCCTTAAATCTTATAGAAAAGAGGATGGGAAGAAGAGCCCTCTGGACAGCTACGAATAACAAACAAACATTGAAAAGGAAAGCAAACCAAGCCAGAAATCAAAATATTTTCCATTTTCTTCACAAAAGCACACAATTCTCCTTTTCCTCCAGCAGCTCTTAGAAAAAAAGAGAGAAAATCAAGAAAGATTTCAAGCTGGAATAAGTAGATTATTCAGAACTCAAGGATACTTTTCATTAAAAGAGGGAAATATCTGGAAGTCAGTTGGAGGAAAAGGTGAGTAGGAAAGTCACATAGAGCAGAGAGTTATGCAGGCCTCGCCCTGTGAGGAAGAGAATGACTTGAATGAAAGCACCACTAAACAAGGGATTATCCACATTTTTGACTTCCTCAAGAATATCAGCTGTGGAAAAGCTCCGTACTTGTGTCTATTGTTGAAAAATCACAGATTGCAAATCACAACTGATTATGCATAAGAGGAGCCATACTGGAGAAAAGCCATAAAAATCATCTGATTGTGGCAAAAGCTTTAGTCAGAACAGCTCCCTTGTGGCTCATGGAAGGACCCACACAAGAGAAAAGCCATAAAAGCACTCCTAGTGCAGTAAATGCTTTAGTGAGCATGGCAACGTGGTGATACATCAGAGGATTCACAGTAGGGAGAAAACCTAGGATTGTACTGATTGTGTGAAAATTTCATTAGAAATTCCCATGTCATGAGACACCATAGGACTCACACACAAGAGAAATCCTTTGAATGTCTTGATTGTAGGAAAAGTTTCAGTCATAAGTCCAGCCTGGTGAGACACCAGAGGATTCATACAGGAGAGAAACCAGATGAGTGTCCACTTTGTGGGAAAAGTTTTATTGCAAATTCTGTCCTGATAAAACACCAGAGGACTCACACAGGAGAGAAACCCTTTGAATGTCCTATCTGTGGGAAACGTTTCAGTCACAAGTACAACCTGGTGATACACCAGAGGATTCACACAGGAGAGAAACCCTTTGAATGTCCTGATTGTGGGAAAAGTTTCAGTCGCTATTCCAACCTGGTGACACACCAGAAGACTCACACAGGAAAGAAACCCTTTGAATGTCCTGATTGTAGGAAAAGTTTCAGTAGCAATTCCAACCTGGTGACACACCAGAGGACTCACACAGGAGAGAAACCCTTTGAATGTCCTGAATGTGGGAAAAGTTTCAGTCGCAATTCCCACCTGGTGAAACACCAGAGGACTCACACAGGAGAGAAACCCTTTGAATGTCCTGATTGTGGGAAAAGTTTCAGTGAGAATTCCATCTTTCTGACACACCAGAGGATTCACACAGGAGAGAAACCCTTTGAATGTCCGATCTGTGGGAAAAGTTTCAGTGAAAATTCCAGCCTTGTGACACACCAGAGGATTCACACAGGAGAGAAACCCTTTGAATGTACTGAATGTGGGAAAAGTTTCAGTCAGAATTCCAACCTGGTGACACACCAGAGGACTCACACAGGAGAGAAACCCTTTGAATGTCCGATCTGTGGGAAAAGTTTCAGTGGGAATTCGCACTTGGTGTCACACCAGAGGACCCACACAGGAGAGAAACCCTTTGAATGTCTTGATTGCGGGAAAAGTTTCAGTCAGAATTCCAGCCTGGTGACACACCAGAGGATTCATACAGGAGAGAAACCCTTTGAATGTCCTGATTGTGGGAAAAGTTTCAGTCAGAATTCCAGCCTTGTGAAACACCTGAGGATTCACACAGGAGAGAAACCCTTTGAATGTCTTGATTGTGGGAAAAGTTTCAGTCGCTATTCCAACCTGGTGACACACCAGAGGACTCACACAGGAGAGAAACCCTTTGAATGTCCTGATTGTGGGAAAAGTTTCAGTCGCTATTCCAACCTGGTGACACACCAGAGGACTCACACAGGAGAGAAACCCTTTGAATGTCCTGATTGTGGGAAAAGTTTCAGTCGCTATTCCAACCTGGTGACACACCAGAAGACTCACATGGGGGAGAAGTCTTTCAAATGTCCAGTCTGTGGACGTTACTTCACTCATAAATCATCCCTTATTGCACATGAGGAAATCCACATGAGGGAAAAGTTGAAGAATTTAGAAAAGGCTTGAAATTCATTTGTGATTTCCCATTGAAACTGTAGGTGAGAAATTGACTATTTGAATTCTGGTCTGAATCTTTTTACTGAAACTTGTCTCAGGACTAGACTTGTAGGTGGAGAGAAAGGGGAAATGGAAAAGGGTAACTACCAATTTCTGCTTAGCAGCAGCAGCTACTGGATATTTCCTTTTGTAGAAATTGTGGATTTCCTCAAAAAGGCTTCTGGGTTGTTTATTGATTATATAATTCTGTTTTGTACATTGATTATATAATTCCCACATGTGGAGTTTGAGGTCTTCCATCTTGGTTTCCTCCAGATTTTGAGGCTCAGAATTTCTCAGCCAGCGTAGAAAATGTCCTCAAGATATAACTGTCATGGGCCTTGCAATTATGGTTGCATATTGCAACGGCCGTTAAGTGAGACTTCTTTCCTAAACTACCATGATCTCTCTGATGCAGCCATTAATTGAATGTGTCAGTCGCTAAGTGGAACACTGTGTACCTTAGGGTTGGGGGAAGCTCTTCGAGGCCTAGTGCAGGCCCAGGTTTGCCTGTTGTAGGCATCTCTAGGCCTCCCCCACCCTGTGCTCTGTTTCCCAACCCTTGTGCCGCCCAGTTCTTTCCCACTCCAGAGTCTCCACAGGTTTTTTCTTCCTCCCACTGGGTCCCTGCATGCCTCACACCCTCCTCTTTCTAAGATTTCTGATCCTGGTGTTGGGGAAGGAGGGGAGGGCGTGCATCCCTGGCCCTTGGGACTGTATCCTGAAAGCAGCCGTTATTTTCAGTGGGCCCTGGCTTCGTCCCTGGGCCATGCGGTGGACTTGTGGAAGCGACTGCCATTTGGCCATACTGTCACTCAGAAGAGAGACAAACCTCTCTGTTTTGCTACCTAACATGAGGGAAAAAATACAGTTGAAAAGGTTTCATTGCTGATAAGGGAAAAAAAATGGTATTTTCAGTGTTGCTATGGACATTAGGTCAAGGGAAGTCGCTCAGAGTTGCCTCAAACGGCAAGATGGGCAGTGATTAAGTTTAATAATGAATGAATTTAATAATAAAAAGATAATGTAAAGCTCATTACCCAACTCCTGCTCAGTGATACATACGGTGGGTTTCTAATATATACAGTTGTTAACTTTCAATCTGTCTCTTGTGCAATCTGCATCTCTAAGAAATCTGTTTTACTCAGCTTCCCTTCCCTCATTTATAAATTTAAAATGTCAGTTTCAATTATACGTCAATCCCGCCACTCTCTGCCTCTGATGACGTGAGGTGCAGTTAGGCTTCTGCCTCTTAATTTATTGTTGCATTGCTATCTGCCCTAGTCCTAAATTCTGTGAAAATACAGCAATTCATTCGGCACAGTTTAAAAATTAGAACAGCTAACTGGATATGTTTTGATTGGCATCCTTCTCAGATTCAGCGATTGTCTTCTCCATCACTGCCAGTATGACGGGGAAATTAGGACATTTCAAACCGGACAACTAAGGTATGGTTTCCTTCTAAAACAGCCATTTGTTTTGCCAGTCAGTTTGTAGCCTTTGAAAATCAAAGAATCACAGACGATCTCTCTGATTTCCTGATTCTCCAAATTCTGAACCAGATTCGATAGACATCATAGAAGTTCAGGTCCCCGTGGATGGCGACAATGAGTAGACACAAACGTTTGAAAAAACCTGGGAATGAATAACTTAAGAATATGTTGGCTGCTCAGTCTGAAAACTGGTTCTCAGTGTGGCACTCAGGGCATTTGACCCCTCTTGGTTCTTCTGGGTCCCATCCCCCCTGATTTTATTCCTTCTTTTAAAAGATTGAGAATTTCACAAGTTATTTAATTAAAGTAAACTTCTGTTTCCACTAATGCTTCTGGAGAAACAGAAATGATGGACAGCTGTAACAAACCAGAATGGGTTTGTCAAGAATGTGATGCCAGACAAACATTATTGCCATTTTTGGTGACGTAACTTAATTAGTGGTTTTGCAAAATGTTTTGGAGATAGGATACTTTGACGTCAGCAAGACATTTGACAAGGTAGAGTACAAGTTAACTTTTTAATAAGACAGAACAACATGGGATAGACCACAGGTCGGCAACCTGCGGCTCCGGAGCCGCATGCGGCTCTTTGAGCCTTCCCCTGTGGCTCCCAGCCTCCTCTGCCTTTGCAGAGAGAGACAGAGACAGAGAGAGGCAATTGCATTTCCCTGCTTCTCTCTCTCTCTCTCTCTCTCTCTCTCTCTCTCTCTCTCTGTGTATGTGTGTGTGTGTATGTGTAAAAGAGAGTGCACTCACAGTGTTCTCCGAGGAGCTGAAAAGCTTTCTGGGCGGAGCTCCTCCCTTTGCTGCGTCTCTGAAGGAAGCAGGAAGCAGGAAGGGCAGGAGAAAACTAGCTAGCCCAGCTAGGCTGACTCAGGAATTCTGGGAGTTGAAGTCCATGAGTCATAAAAGAGATGAGGTTGCTTACCCCGGAGGTTGTTGGACAACAGCTTGAAGCTTGCCAGGTGAGCAGCAGATAGGGGGGGGGGAGAAAGAGAGAGAGAGAAAGAGAGAGAGAGGGAGAGAGAGAGTGGGGGAAGAGGAGTGGCAGACCAAGGGCAGATAGAGAGGGAGGGAGAGAGAGACCCTTTTGACATCTAAAATGAAGATAACACTGCATATATCCTTTTTTTACCTGTGTGTGTATGTAATTTTATTCTCTTAAAGCATTCTCTTGGTGATCATTGTTTTAATAGTATGGATATTCCCAAGAGTCATATTTTTACTTTTATTTTTAATGTGTATATGTGTGTGTGTGTGTGTGTGTGTGTGTGTGTGTATACACACACATATACACATACACATACACACACACACATACACACACCTATAATAAAGGTAAAAAAGGATATATGCAGTGTTATCTTCATTTTAGATATCAAAAGGGTTTTGCGGCTCCCAGTGTTTTGTTTTTGGTGGGAAACGGGTCCAAGTGGCTCTTTGAGTGTTTTGGGTTGCCTACCCCTGGGATAGACAGAAGCACGACTGGGTGGATTCGCAATTGACTGACCAACCACACTCAGTGGGTATTCCTCAATGGAACTACATCTACATGGAGAGAAGCATGCAATGGGGTACCTCAAGATTTGGTCTTGGGCCCAGGACCCTTCAACATCTTCATAAATGATCTAGAGGAGGGGATAGAAGGGGAGCTTATGAAATTTGCAGATGACACCAAGTTGGGGGGGGAAGAGCCAATACTTTAAAAGATGGGCTCAAGATCCAGAAGCATCTTGACACATTTGAGCATTGGGTCAAGAAAATGCAGCTCAGTGGTGAATAAAATAAGGTCCTACACCTAGGTAGGAAAAACGAAAACAACAGGAATAGAATATGTAATATCTGGCTCAATAGAGGAATCTAGGTGTCCTAGTGGACAGGTAGGAGCAGGGAATCTGCTGCAGCTCTCCCCCCCCCCTGCCAAAACCAATGTAGTCATGGGTTGCATCAACAGAGGTATAACGTCAAGAAGTGATAGTACCACTTTACACCACGCTGGTGAGTCCACACTTAGAATACTGCGCCCATTTCTGGTCCCATGATTCAACACATGTTGAGTCCTTGGAAAATGTGCAGAGAAGAAGAAAGATCATAAATGTTCTGGACGCTAAATCACAATCGGTTGAGAGAGCTAGGTATGTCTAGGCCATGGAAGAGAAGGATTGGGGGGGCATGATGGCTGTCTTCCACTACTTGAGGGGCTGTCACAAAGAGGAGATCAACTTATTCTCTAGGGCAACAGAAGGCAGAACAAGAGGTTCACGGATGAAAAGTTGTCAAAGGAAGATCCAATCTAGAAGTAAGGAGAAATTTTCTGTCAGTGAGTGCAATTGATCAATGGAATAGCTGGCCTTCTGGCATTGTGGATGCTCCATCACTGGAGATTTTCAAGAATAGACCGGACAGTCATTTGACTGGGGTTATACAAGGCTCCTGCCTTGAGCAGCGGGTTGGACTAGACCACTGAGTTGTTTTCCAACCCTATGATGCTATGATTCTAGATTTAGAGGCAGCTTAGAAAATTGGTACAGAGCAGTCACATGAAATTGCTTCTGGTAAGGGGCCTTTTAATAGAAAAAATATTAGCCAAATTAAGATAGAATACAAACTCAAAAGAAAAAAAACAAAAATTACAACAACAAAAGAAGATGGGCAAAACATTAAAAAAAAGAAATGTGAATTACAAAAGACAAAAACAGAATTACATATAGTAAGTCAGTTGAATGTTGATAAACATAGTGTAACAATATCAGTTTCCTACCCTCACAAAGCAGGCCCAAAATTTGTGAATTTCTACCTCTAGTTAGAATCAATTTGTCCTTCATCTATCTACTCTGTATAAAGGCAAAATGCTGAACAGATGTACCAAAAGTAAAGTTAAACATCAAAGCCCTCTCTTAACTATCCATTGTATTTAACTACAATGGCTTGTTATTTATGATAAGTCACCCCAATCATTGTCTCTGATCCGTCCAGGATCAAATATACTCATTTGATTCTTAATAATAAAGCTTTTCCTTAAGATTTTGATTGAGCACTTTCCCAACAATTGTGTCTTATTCCCAAAAATTATAAACCTCTGTTGTTGATCCATTTTATCAAAAAAGTTCAGTCTAAATTGTTTTCCAGTTAAATAAAATAAGTCCATTCCCCAGTCTTCTTAAGAAAGTCCAGTTCATCACGCATCGAGTCTGTTTAACTCCAAATCTTTGGAATCCACATCCCCTTCAGCCTTCTCCAACCAGCCCACAGTTTCCATCCATGGTCAGGCGGCTTCTGAGAAGTGGCTGTGCTCCCAGTCACAGCTTCTTGGGAAGAGCTTAGCTCACAAAGTCACCTGGGTCCATTTGGGCAGAGCCACCCATTCATGTGTGCTCATAGGATCATATGAAAAAGAGTTCTATGGTTTTTACATATCAGGACATAGTAAAGTCATCTGGTCCTTAACAGTTCTTAATAATAGATAAATAAACCTCAGAGGAAAAACAACAACACATGACCTATTATACCATGTCATCATTTTCATTTAAAAGAAAGTCAAATTTTCTTTAAGGTTTTCCAAGGAATGCCTACAAGTAAAGAGAGAAACAATATGTGGAGCAATGAACTGATATTTAAAATCTTCAAATGAATGTTCCTGAATTTAGAAGAAACCAAAGAATTGCACATTTGTTCATTTCACTAACACAATTCAGAGGACTGGTTACAATTTTTTTCTAGTGGATCACATGGTAGGTAGGTAGGCAGGCTGTCTGGCTGGGGGGACATTTACGCCATAAATTACAGCATGCTACACAGGAACTGCTTTGTATGCCATCCTGAGTTACTGAATGAAAAGGGAATCAATAAAATATACCTTGCAGTTCTTTTATTCCAGATTCCTCATGCAACAGAGCTCAGATGCAATAGCTGAAATGGCCACTATCCTCATCCAAAACCTACGAGATGTACATTAAAAACGGCAGTGCAGGGTGTCCCTCTAAAAAGGTTAGCCTGGTGATCAGTTGGCCATGTGGTTTGATGGGCTATTCTATTTTTTGCCTTTTGTTTTTTTATGAAGCTTTTTTGGAAAGCTGTGGGAAAAATTTCAGTCATAACTACAGCCTGATGAACCACCAGAGAACTCATACAGGAGAGAAACCCTTTGAATGTCCTGATTGTGAAAAAAGTTTCAGTCAAAATTCTAATCTGGTGAGACACAAGAGGATTCACACAGGAAAGAAATCTTTTGAATGTCTTGAGTGTGGGGAAATTTTCATTAAAAATTCCCACCTCATTAGCCACCAGAGGACTCTCACAGGTGAGAAATTGTTTGAATGACTTGATTGTGGAAAAAGTTTCATTAGAAATTCCCACCTTGTGAGACACCAGAGGACTCACACAGGTGAGATATTGCCAGCTAGCAGATATAAGCCCACACACATGTACCACCTGACTATCTTCCAAGCACAAAATGATGCTGGCTAGTGCTTTCTTCCCTTTGCCTCTCCTCATTGATATGTGCTGGATAATTGCTTACAGCTGTCCACAAATCCTTCCTCCACAGAAACATCTCCATCTTTAAGCTCCATGAGAAATAATTCATCTCCTTAAAGGGAGCTACATGAAATCCTCCTCCCATTCCTGTAACAGATAGCATCACGCTGTCTTTACAGGCCAATCTTCCTCAACCTCCCTCAGGTTCATAAAGAAACTTTTACCTCAGAAAAACTTTACCTCAGGGTGCTTGGGCCCATAACTTGTCAGGGATTTGCACAGCCTGTATCCAAATGGAGTCATAGACGCTGACATGAACTTGTTTTAAATAAATAAATATATTTTACAACCATACATACAGTAAACTAGATAGGAGCATCATCAGGTAAATCAACAAAACAGGAACATCATGAGGTAAATTACAGACAACACTGAACAGCACTCAGAGGAAAAGAGGCGGGAAACAAGGAAACTCCCACTTTAACCCTCAAAGCAACCAATCATATCTTAGATTGCTTCATGCAGTAGCCAGCTCTCTTCAAACAATTAGCAATAACTTTGTGTTCTTATTAATTGTTCTTATTAATCCAACCCTTCACTGCTCCAGCTATTAAATTAAATATACTTAACAAGCTGGCTCCCCTGGAGCGTCTGGCCTGAAGATTTGGGAAGTAGAGAGGTTTTGATCTCCACTGAGGGTCACCCTGAAGAAAGCTTATTCTGCAATTCTGTAAAACCGTCATGAATTTATAGGGCTCAGCACAGAGCTAATCTTCATAAGCTAAGCAGCATTACATCTCACTATTTCACATGGCTCAGTTGCAAAAGTCAGTTGCTAGAATAATAATAATAATTATTATTATTATTATTATTATTTTCTTTTCAAGCACACTGAAGTCAAGAAAAAGATTAGAGGTGCCCGAGAAAGAGATGGGCTTAAAGCACCCAATTTGAAATTATATTATGATGCAGCCACCTTAACTTTGATAAGTGATTGGCTTAATTTAACAAATAAAGATGTTCTGTCTATTGAAGGGTGGGATTTACTGTATGGTTGGCATGCATATTTGATTTTTAATAAGAAAGACAAATGTTGGAGGTGTGGTAGTCCTGATGCAACTTACTTTCATGTTTGGTGGACCTGTAAGAAGGTTAAAGCTTTCTGGATAATGATTTGGTGGAACATTTAAAAGATTTTTAAAAAGAAGATAAAGTTTACTCCTCAACTATTTTTATTGGGTATTTTTATGGATGTAGATGTTAATGAAACTATTTTAATGTTGAATTTAATAACTGCAGCAAGATTACTTGTAGGTTTATATTGGAAGAAGGATTCGCTGCCTACCTTAGAAGAATGGACACTTAAGGTTTCTACTTTAGCGGAAGTGGCAAAAATTTCAGCTTATTTAAAGGACCATACACAAGAAAAATTCATTATAGTGTGGAGAAGGTGGATAGATTATATTCAGAATAAATACGGAACTTTAAAGTTCCATTTATTTTATGATTATTTTTTTCTTGAGGTTATAATTACTATTTATAGATTTTTATAATATTTGATTGATAGTAGATTTGTTTATGTTATTATTATTATTATTATTATTATTAAAGTTTAGAGAGAGTTAAGGGTAATGTATGAATTTGTTTATTGTATAGAAATTTTTGTTGTTGTTGTTTTATTGTGTTTGTTTTGTTTATAATAACCCTGTATTTTGCTCTGGGAAGTGGGGGGGGTAGGGGGGGAGGGGTGGGATTAAGTATATATAGAAATATTAAAATATGAAATAGATGGAGTAATTTAGAGGGAGGTGCCGCTCGGGTGTTTCCCCTGAACTGTATCCGAAGAGGGATAAGAGGGGAGGAGGAGGGAAGGAAGGAAGTTGGATGGGAGGAAGGGGTGAGGGGAGACAGGAGAGGAGAGGAGAGAGGGAGTAGGGAAGTAAGGAAGGAAGGTTGAGAGGGCGGATGCAGTGGGGGGGAGATAGACGAGCGACACCTAAGGTCTTATTTTAAAGGTATTTTTCTCTTTTTTTTAGTTTTATATATAATGTATGGAAAGTATTATATGTATTGAAAATTCAAATAAAACTTTTTTTAAAAAAATGCCAAATCCAGTCTGAACATCTGGCTGACTGTGCGATGATCCATAATAATAATAATAATAATAATAATAATAATAATAATAATAATAATAATAATAATAATAATAATAATAATAATAAATCCAGCAAGAGGGGCAACACCAGGTAACTACAGGCCAATTACCTGCTTACCAACAACTTTTAAATTACTAACTGGTGTGGTAGCTGATGCAGTACAACAGCATCTAGTTGAAAACAATCTCTTTCCACCTGAGCAGAAAGGAAACCGCCCCAATAGCAGAGGAACAAAAGATCAACTCCTAATAGACAAAATGATCTTGGAAAACTGCAAGAGAAGGAAGACCAACCTGAATGTGGCATGGATTGACTACAAAAAGGCATTTGACTCTCTGCCACATGACTGGATAATCAAGTGCCTAGAAATAACAGGAGTAAGTAGAAACATCAGAAAATTTGTGCAAAAATCGATGGCACAATGGAAGACACAGTTGCAGATCAATGGTGAAAAGCTGGGAGAGGTTAATATCAAGAGAGGAATATTTCAAGGAGATTCATTATCACCATTACTATTTGTTATTGCACTGTTTCCTCTGTCAACAATACTGAATAACTCAGGACATGGCTATCAAACATCAAAAACATCTGCTAGACTATCCCACCTCCTTTACATGGATGATCTGAAGCTGTATGGAAAAACATCATCTGAAATAGAATCGCTGCTCAACACTGTCCGTATATATAGCCAAGATATTGTAATGGAGTTTGGCTTGGACAAATGTGCCACACTTACTATCAAACAAGGAAAAATAGTGAAAACTGAAGGAATCAAGATGCCCCACGAAAATAACATTAAGAGTCTGGATGAGGAAGATACTACAAATACTTGGGTATCCTTCAAGCTGACAACATCAAGCACACTGAAGTCAAGAAAAAGATTAGAGGTGAATACATCAAGAGAGTGAAGAAGATCTTAAAATCCAAACTCAATGGAGGAAATACCATAAAGGCAATCAACACCTGGGCAATCCCAGTCATTAGATACACAGCTGGAATAGTGGACTGGACTCAAGCAGAACTAAAAGCAATGGATAGGCAAACCAGAAAAATAATGACAATGAATCATGCCCTTCATCCACGCAGTGACATTGATAGACTTTATCTACCAAGGCAAATAGGTGGGCGTGGAATGCTACAAGTACATCAGATGGTTGAAGAAGAAAAAATGGCTTTGGAAGAATATCTGAAGAACAATGATGAAGATGCACTGAAATTAGTATATCAGGAAGGCTTACTAACTACTGGAGAGACCAAACTGGCCTACAAGAAAGACCAAATGAAGAACAGAATAGAGGCATGGGAAGACAAAGCACTACATGGCCAATACATGAAAAAAATAGCTGGGAAAGCAGATAATAATAAAACCTGGCAATGGCTAAGAGCAGGAAAATTGAAGAAAGAGACCGAGGGACTAATTCTGGCTGCACAAGACCAAGCCTTAAGGACAAATGCATACAAAGTCAAAATTGAGAAGACAGCAACAGACAGTAAGTGCCGCCTATGCAAAGAAGCTGAAGAAACAGTGGACCACTTGGTAAGCTGTTGCAAGAAGATTGCACAGACTGATTACAAGCAGCGACATGACAAAGTAGCAACAATGGTGCATTGGAAGATCTGCAAAAAATATCATTTGCCTGTAAGCAAAAACTGGTGGGATCATAAAATAGAGAAAGTCATAGAAAATGATAAAATTAAACTGCTCTGGGACTTCAGAATTCAAACAGACAAGCACCTGCAACATAACACCCCAGACTTAACAATTGTCGATAAGAAAGACAAAAAAGTCTGGATAGTGGACGTGGCAGTGCCTGGAGACAGCAGAATAGAAGAGAAAGAACTGGAGAAGATAACAAAATACAAAGACCTACAAATAGAAATAGAAAGACTGTGGCAAAAGCAAGCAAGGGTAGTACCAATAGTCATAGGCTCCTTGGGTGCAATCCCAAAACAACTGGAGCACCACTTGAACACCATTGGCATTGACAAATTCGCTATTAGTCAATTGCAAAAGGCGGCCTTACTAGGAACTGCTTCCATCCTGCGACGATACCTGTAATACCATCAAACATCCACATCTGCCTATCCCAGGTCCTGGGTAAGGACTCGATAGGTAGACAAAATGCCAAATCCAGTCTGAACATCTGGCTGACTGTGCGATGATTGAGAATAATAATAATAATAATAATATAATAAAATAGAGAAAGTCATAGAAAATGATAAAATTAAACTGCTCTGGGACTTCAGAATTCAAACAGACAAGCACCTGCAACATAACACCCCAGACTTAACAATTGTCGATAAGAAAGACAAAAAAGTCTGGATAGTGGACGTGGCAGTGCCTGGAGATAGCAGAATAGAAGAGAAAGAACTGGAGAAGATAACAAAATACAAAGACCTACAAATAGAAATAGAAAGACTGTGGCAAAAGCAAGCAAGGGTAGTACCAATAGTCATAGGCTCCTTGGGTGCAATCCCAAAACAACTGGAGCACCACTTGAACACCATTGGCATTGACAAATTCGATATTAGTCAATTGCAAAAGACGGCCTTATTAGGAACTGCTTCCATCCTGCGACGATATCTGTAATACCATCAAACATCCACATCTGCCTATCCCAGGTCCTGGGTAAGGACTTGATAGGTGGACAAAATGCCAAGTCCAGTCTGAACATCTGGCTGACTGTGCGATGATCGATAATAATAATAAGTCTGCCTATCCCAGGTCCTGGGTAATCTGCCTATCCCAGGTCCTGGGTAAGGACTCGATAGGTAGACAAAATGCCAAATCCAGTCTGAACATCTGGCTGACTGTGCGATGATCAATAATAATAATAATAATAATAATAAAAACAACAATAATAAAGTTGGAAGGAACCTTGGAGGTCATCGAGTCCAACCCCCTGCTCAGGCAGGAACCCTACACTGTGTTTGAGTTTAAAGGAGTTAAAACCATTGAGTTCTGTATTGCTAGAAAGGATGAGAGGCGAGAAGAAGCACAGAGGAACTTCCTCTTCCGCATCAATCATGGGAAGAAGGAGGCGTGCAGAGCGGCTTTTGTGCTATTTCCAGGGTGGAAGCAGCAGCTGGAAGGTGAGTTGAGGAGAGGAGAGGTCGGAGGAGAGGCTGGAAGCAAGTAGTACTGTTTGGTTTCCAGCAGAGAAGCAATGAGGCTGAAGCATGTCAGCTGCTGCTGCATGTCCCTTCTTTCCCCAGTCTACTGGTGCCGCACACTGGTGGCTGCAATTTTTTGCTGGTGGGAAGACAGTCTATTAAACAGTCTATTTCAAGTGAAGGTTGATTCTTTGGGAATGGCTTGCCTCCAGAAGTTGTGGGTGCTCCATCACTGGAAGTTCGTAATAGAGTTGGAAGGAACTTTGTAGGTCTTCTGTTCCACCCCTTGCTCAAGCAGGAGACCATATACCATTGCATACAAATAGCTGTCTAGCACCCACAACTGCCGAAGGCAAGCTGATCCACTCTTTAATTGTTCTCACTGTTAGGAAATTCCTCCATAGTTCTAGGTTGCTTCTCTTCTTGATTAGTTTCCATCCATTGCTTAATAGAAGTAGTTCTATTAAAGACTACACATTGAGTGTGGTTTGTCAGCCAGTTATGAATCCATCTGTGTGGATGGATGTATCTGTCCCACATTTTACCAAGAAGTAGGTTATGGTCTATTTTGTCAAATGCCTTACTGAAATCCAAGTATACTATGTCCACAGCATTTTGCTGGTCCACTATTTAATCATTTTGTTAAAGAATGAAATAAGATTTGTTGGGCATGTCACATCTAGGGTAAGGCTAAGGGCACTGGATGGAAAGCTATGAGCTCTACTTCAGTGTTAGGTTAGGACAGTGGTTCTCAACCTTTTTAATGCCGCGATCCCCAACCGGTCGTAAGTCGAGGACTACTCAACCGGTTGTAAGTTGAGGACTACTCAACTGGTGCAGCACCGTTTGCAGAATGGGACTTTTGGCGGGCTCAGCAGGGCAGAGACAGCCTGGACAATTCCTATTGGCTTTTGAAAGCCAATAGAATTAGACTCTATTCAAGAATGTCTGTTCTATTGGCTTTCAAAAGCCAATAGAATAAAAGGGAATAGCACAGCTAAGGAAAAGGGGGAAAAAATGGCAGACTGCATTGTTTGGCGACCCCCGTGAAATGGTCGTTCGACCCCAAATGGGGTCCTGACCCACAGGTTGAGAACCACTGGGTTAGGAGCTAGGAATAATCAGAGGCAAGAAGTATGTCTCAGTAGGTAGGCAGGCTGTTTGGGGGTGTTTAGCCTGTAAATCACAGCTTGCCACACAGGAAGTGCTTTGTATGCCATCTTGAGTTCCTGAATGAAAAGGGAATCAATAAAATATATGGTGGGGTTCTTTTATTTCAGTGTCCTCCATGCAACAGAGCTTAGAGCCAAGTTGAAATGGCCACTATTACCACCCATACCTTATTAAATCTAGATTACAAATGGCAGTGCAGGGTGTCCCACTAAAAAGGTTAGCCTGGCTTTGATGAGGTATTCTATTTTTCCCATTTTTTAAAAAAATAGTGTTTTCTGCAAACATTTCTTTCTGTCACAAATTGGCAATCACCCCCTCTTTCTTAGTCACCATTTTCTAGGCCCTGCTGCATATTCTTCCACTGTGACCTAATGGAAACCTCTGTGTCAGCAAATTTACAGAAGTACATGGCATTTGGCATTTAGCAGACATAAAATTTCCTCCTTCAGGAATGAAGTGGAGTGGAGAGTGCTTCTCCATGCAGCCTGATCAGCAGGAGTGAAGATGGCTCCCCTGTAGCATCTCTCCTGATAGTGCTGCCATGTCCTAAATCCTTGGGAACCACAAGAAATCAATCATAAAGATTTTGGATGTAAAGAGGCTTTGATTTCTACTGAAAGTCATCCCTAAGAAAGCTGATTTTGTAATTCTGTAAAAACATCTTGAAATTTTAGGGCTCAGCAGGTAGCTAATTTTCATAAAGTAAGTAGCATCACATTTCACTATTTCACTTGGGTCAGTTTCTAGAAGTCAAAAATGATTTGATAGCATTTAATCAGTGAAAAGATCTTGTAAATGGGACAAGCATGTTTTTCCACCACCTATGAAGAGATAGCAATATTAATAGCACTTAGACTTATATACCACTTCACAGAGCTTTACAGACCTCTCTAAGCAGTTTAGAGAGCCAGCATATTGCCACAACAGTCTGGGTACTCATTTTACTAACCTCGGAAGAATGGAAGGCCGAGTCCACCTCGAGCCAATGAGAATCGAACTGTCAGCAGCCAGCAGTAGCCGCCTGCAGTACTGCATTCTAACCACCGGGCCAACAGGGTCTCATAGCTGTCAAATCTGCCTAAAAAGCAGTATAGTAGGTAGCAGTGTTAAATGAGTTAAAACTATTGAAAACAATTCCTAGAGTGGAGGGGAGGAAGTAGAAGAGTAGAAGAAAGAAAGTCCAGTTGCTCTTGAAAAAGCACCTTTGGGACAACAGAACTTCTTCTTCTGGATCACTCATGGGAGGAAGATGGTTTGCTGAGTGGCATTTGTGCTCTTCCAAGGATCAAAGGAGCAGCTGGAAAGTGAATGGAGGATAGGTCAGAGGAGAAGTTGGGAGCAAATGGGGCTGTTTGGTTCCCTCAATGGCATGGAAGCAGAGAAGCAATTACGCTGAAGCATGTCAGCTGCTGCTGCTGCATGTTCCTTCCTTCCTCAAATTTAAGTCCAATGGAGCTGCTTGGTTTGAAACTCGGCTGCAATTTTCTGTTGGTTGGAAGATTTCAATAGTCTCCTTCAAGTGAAGATTCATCCTTTGGGAATGGCTAGCTTCCAGAAGTTGTGGGTGCTTCATTGATGGAGGTTTGTAACAGAGTAACAGCTGGAAGGGACCTTGGAGGTCTTCTACTCCAACTACCTGCTCAAGAAGGAGAACCAATATCATTTAAGGTAGGGTTGTGGGGGCTTCCAGTACGGAGCGACAGCGATGGCGGCTATCCTCTAGCCGTCCAGCTGGGAAAGTGTTAGAGCCGCGGAGCGCAGCGCGCATCAGCTGGCCCGCGGCTCGGAATTCCCTTCCCGGGCAAAGGGAAGGGACAGAGAGTACAAGAGTAGAGGTAGAACCCCTGAACCCTCTCTGGATTTAATTCTAGGGGGGGTGAAAGGAGTGTTCCCTCGGAGCTCTTGTTGTCTCCGCCTCCCAGCTGTTTTTGCTTCCTAGGAAGCAAAAGAAACTGCCGCTTCTATCTCCGTGCTTATAGAGAGTTGGTGAGTAATTCCTAAAAAACCGGACAGAGCAGTTTAAAGGATTTTTTCTTATATAATTTAGGTGTTTATTTTTTTATTTAGTTTTGATTATTTCTCCTTTTTTTTCTTTTTATTACTGTGGAGAAGGAATTAAGATGGCGTTTTGAAAGTGACGGAGTTTTTTTTTTCCTTTGTCTTTTGTTTCACTTTCTCCTTTTAAGGACTGGACTTTACTTTTGCTTTTGGTATTGAATTCTCTTTTTTGATTTTTTTTTCTTGGTCTTTTTTCTCTGGATTTTCAAGGATTATAGTGTTTTTGCTGCCTCTTTTAAAAGTAAAAATTTTTCTCTTTCCCCCTCATCTTTTTTTTTGGGGGGGGGAAAGGGAAGTGAGAACTGTGTCATTTAAAATGGCTTCAAAGAGACAGCCGCCTTTTACAACATCCAAGGTGATTTCCTCCCCTATAACTTCCACTGCACAACCACAACAACAACTTAAACATGCACCACCGGCACAGCCACCACCCTCCCCTCCTTTGCCTGGACTTTCAGCACAAGAGGTTAGAGGTATAATGGGAGAGGCTGTAGCTCAAATGAGAGAGGAAATGAAGCAATTTTCTACACAGCTTAAATCAGAAATAAAATCTGACTTCAAAGAAGAGATAAGTGGGATAAAGGATCAATTGGAAAATAACAATAATATTTTGCGACAAGATATACTTGCAGCAGTCTCAGGTTTGGCTACAGTGGTGGTTAAGCTGGATGCAAGACTCGAGGAAGTTGAAGATAAAGTTGATTCCTTTGATGACAAAATTCAAGATGTGGAAAGGAAGGTGGAGACTTCACAAGACGATATTCTGATGTTTCAGTATAGGCAGATGGAATATGCCTTGAGGATTAGAGGCCTCAAGGAAGATATGAATCAAGATCTGATGGAGGTGGTCCTTACTGATTTGGCTGTGGTTTTGGATATGGATAAAGGAGAATTACGCAGAGAAGTTGAAAAAGTGTACAGGCTTAACTCTTGGATTGCTAAGCAGAAGAATTTGCCTAGAGATGTGGTGATTTATTTTACGAAGAAGTCTCTGCGTAATGAGATCATACAAGCCTTTTATAATAAAAGATTTCAGATAGCTGCCCAAGATGTCATCATACTAAAGGAAATCCCATCAAAAATTTTAAGAATCAGGAAAGATTTTGCTTTCTTAGCTAATGAGCTTAAAGCTAGATCAGTGCCATTTAGATGGGAAATCCCGATGGGCATTGTTTTGAGCCATGCGGGGACACGTTATAGATTGAATACGGTTGATAAAGCTAGAGAATTCTATACTTCAGTCCTAGGTGCAGGCTCAACTTTACCTGTTCAGAAATCCCTGAGTGGCAAAGAGGCGGAGCAGCAGTCTGAGGCATTAGATTTGGTTTCTGCTGGGATGCTGCAAGCTGAATGGCAACGCCAGATGGAGGTTAAAGAGCAGAGAATGACTCGTGCAGCTTATAAACGTAAAGAGAAGGAGCAACGTAAGAAAGAGGCCAAAGAGATTTCTCCTGGAAATGTATCACCGCCGGTGGGAGGAGCAAGACCCAAGAGTCATGCAACACATGTTGCAATTTCAGATCTCCAAGGTGTCTTCTCCAGGCTGCGGGCCAAGGGAGATGGCAAAGTTTTTGACCTGGAATGTTAATGGATTGAATTCTCCTCAGAAAAGGAAAAAAATCTTTTATTATTTGAAGCAACGTAATAATGATGTTATTTGCTTACAGGAAACTCATATTTTACTTAAGGATCAGAAATATTTAGTTAATGCCCGTCTGGGATCTCACTTCGTATCTTCTGCTCCCGGG